GGGGGGGGGGGAGGGAGAGGGAGAAAGAGTGGCAGCGGAAAGGCGAGGCAAAGGGTGGGAGCTCGGATGATGGCTGGCACCCGGGCGACAGCCGCTTACCATGCTTGCTCAAGTCTCGGGCATTCCTCGGCAGGTGTGGCCGTGTTTCGCCCCGCAGCCAGCGCGGGGCCGCGGGATGACGCCGAGAAGAGGAGGAGGCAAGGAAAAGAAATAAAAAGGACGACGGCGGGGGCTGCGCGCGCGATCCGGGGATACCACGCCGAAGTGCGCCCGCGCCGGCCCGCGCCGCGCGTCTTCCCCCCCCCCCCCCCGCCACAGGTGGGAAGTCCACGTGGAAGGCTAACGGCGATAGCGGCGGCGATCGATGCGTTGGCACCAGACCACGTCGGGCCCCAGCGAGATCGTCCTCGGGGGGCCGGCGGGATCTTGGCACATGCGTGCACGCATGCGCCGGCACACACGGGCCTGCGGCCCGGGGATCTCCCGCGAGGGCGAGGGACCGAGGAAATCCCTCCTGGCTCAACAGGCGCCCAAACAATCCAGCAGGAGAGCCCTCTCCGCGGGAGCCAGAGTCCTCCCTTCCATGCCCCACCCCCCTTTTTTTTTCTTGCGCGCCCTCCGCCCTCCGCCCTCCGCCCTCACCTCTGCCGCACTGCCGCCGGCACTGTCGCCGTCGCTCCATCATCGCCGCCGAAAAGGGGGGAAAAAAAAAGACCAACGCCACTACGCAAACGATGCCCGGCCGCTCGTCGGCCGCCCCGGGCCCCGGGAATGTTGATCTGGTTGAGTTGGATCTGCTACCGCGCGGGGCCGGGGCCTTCGATGGGCTATCCTTCCGGTCGGTGAACGGCCCGCGGCCAATTCGACTCCCAGCGCCGGGGTTACGCTCCTCGGCCCTCTACAACCTGGATGGGTCCTTGGTTCAAAGCCTTCGGGCGGGCATTCGCGATGGGTCGCTGCCCCTGCATGAGCCCGGCCGGGGCGCCAAACGTCGCCGAGGTGGAGCCGAGGACAGTGACGACGACGACGACGACGACGAGGATGGGCACCAGCCAGGGGAGGAAGAAGATGACAAGGCGGCGACTTGCCATCCGGATGAGGCCGACGATCTGGCCTCCCTTCCGTGTGACCCCTCCGATCCGTTTGTCACCAGTGGACGACCCACTCGCGGTATGTTGCCTCGGTCCTGGCCGGGTCCTCCTGTTGCCTGTGCTGCTGCCTCCCTCGGCGGCTGGCTGACTGACAAACGCTCTCCAAACGGCGCAGGGTCCCTTCGCCTGTATCCGAGCCACACCTCCTCCAGCCATGGGTCCTTCACGCTGTGTACCCCACACCACCCGGCCGAGCACCAAGACCGCACCCACTACACCAATGCCAGCACCGTGTATCCGACGCGCTTTCGGCGCTTCGTGTCACATGGAGAGCCTCCCGAATATCTGATCAACTCCCAGGTGAGAAGGCTCCCCCCCCCCCGCCGTCTCGCCCCCTCCCCGTGACAATGGGCATCGGCTGTCTTCCTTTCTCTCGCCCCTCCTCCCTTTCCCTCGCCTCCCTCGCCGCATGCCTTGGTGCTGACATCCGGCTGTGCTGCTTCGTTGATAGGTCTCGTACGCCCAGTCGCGCCTTGGTCCGGGCGCCGTGCCGGACGACCTGCTGACGTCCCTCGTCACCGAAGCTCTAACCCAGGAGGCGGACCCCTGGCGGGAGGCCATGCATGTCGGGAGCTGCATCGGCTTCTCGCCGTCCGGCCTCGGGGCGACCCTCACTTCGGAGAATGTCAAAACCGCAAAGCGGCGCCAAGGCCACCACACTTGCGGCCCGGCCGAGGGACTTGAGGCCCTGCACTCGGACCCGAGCCTTTGGCTGGACCAGGGGCTGCTACTGGCTGCTGGCGGCACGCGCGGGGAGGGGGTTCGCCATGGGCGCTTTGTCAGTGCGCATTTGCTTCCCCTCCGCTGGGCGGGGAGGTGGGGGGGGAGGGGGGGGGGGGGGAATCCCTTGCTATTCCGGCTGCGGCCGCCGCCCGGGGCACATGGCACCGATGGTCGCCTGCGAAACTGACACACCCTCCATCCATTTGATCGTCCTCCTTCATTGTGGGGCCTCAAAAAAAATAACAACAATCCAGACCTCTACCGGCTGCCGGCCAGTTCGGCTCCGCTCGACCCCCTGCCCGCCCTGTTTCCCGATCAGGGCGGCTCCCCGGCGGCCAGTACCCTGCGCCACTCGCCGCTGGTGGATGCCATCCCCGTCGAGGAGAGTATCAATCAGCTCCTGCCGACATTTGCCTGTGCGTGGGGACCCTTTGCTGGCACATGCTCCTGTCAGGGTGTGGCACTAACCCGGGTCTCCTGGTGGACGTGTGTCCCTCGGGCCAGACCATGATGCTTTCGGGTTTTTGGCTCGCCACGACCGGCGCATCAGCTTCGCCGGAGTCGCGCTGCGGACCAGCCCCCTGTGCGATTGGACCGGCAGGCCGACCCTCTCCGGGCTGAGCTTCATGGCCAGCGGGGACTTCGAGCTGCCCGGGCCGGGCCGCTGGTCGGATGCCTGCCTCAGTCCGTGGCCCGGGGCCGGGGACGGCGCGCCGGTTGCCGCGGCGATTTCCAGCCGCGGATGTGTCTACCTGCTGGAGGGCCCGACGGCGCTGGCCGGCGGTAGCGCCCATGCCAGCCCCAATGTGGCCGCCTGCCGGCAGGTGTTCCAGCTGGCCGGCTCGGCCGATGCGCTCTACTCCCCGGATGGGCCGTTCACCTGCGCCTTCGGTTCCCATCCGCTGGTCTTGGAGGTGGCCAGCTCGCGGGCTCTCTGCCTGGTGGACCTGCGGACGCCGCCGCGCGAGGCGACCGTGCCGTTGTTCAAGCTGTCTGGCCTGTCGGCCGACGCGCCCGGCTCCTCCGGATCTCGGGCAGCCCGCCACGCTCTCAACACGACGCTCGGCGCCAGCCGCTCATTGTGGGTCTGTCCGCCACGCAATCCCGGGGTGGACCTGCGCGATGCACAGCGGTCTCACCATCGAAAGCGCCGGGCCGGCCGGCCCGAGGCCATCTGCCAGCTGGCCAAAACCGGGCCAACCGGGCCCTTCGAAACGCTGATCCTGACGACGGAGCGCTCGGCTCTGCTGGACCACCGGTATGGCCGGCGCCCGGTCCTCGAGTGGACCCCGCCCGCCGCCGGGACTTGGGTCTCTGGCACGGCCACCCTCCCTCTTCAGTGCGTGTTCAGCGATGGGGGGGTGGGGGGGGGGTGTAATCTTCCTTGGGGGTGTTGCTGTCCGGGGCCAGGCCCCCTGTGCCCCGGCGCGCTTGTCACTCGGCTGGGGCTTCCATCGGGGTCGACACTAACACACATGGCTGGCATCATCGCACGCAGCATCCTTGACCGATCGCTGCCGGGCGATGTACATGCCTGTGCCACATGGAGCCACGCCAGCGGGGAGTTCTCCCTCGCGGCCTTCGATGGGGCTGAGGTCTTGACGCCCCTCGCTGCCGGGGCCGGCGTTCACCTGCCGGGCGCCATGTCTCCGTCTGTTGCTGCCGGGGTCCGGCTCCGGACCACGCATGGCAGCATCTTTGCCAGTCGGGACCCCTGGCGCGCGGAGTCCCTGGCCGGCTTGTGTGTTGTTCCCCCCTCGCCGGCCGGCCAGCCCGGGGCCCTGGTCAGCTTGAATCAGTTTGGCGCGTGCGTGTTCATGGTCCCCTCCGCCCCCCCTTCTTCCTCCCCTGACCAGAGAGGAGGGGCGCGGGGCAAACTCCTCTCCATTGGGGCTTCCTTCGCCCCTCTCCCATGCCTGTGAGTGCGTGTGGCCGGGACTGACGACCTCCCTCTCCGGCCTCCTGTTTAGGATCACCTTCCACCGGCCGGTGGCGGAGGAGCATGCGGCCTCCACGCGGTCTCTCCCCCCGGATGTGCTTCCCGGGCGCCCGCTCGGCAGCTCCCTGCACAATCCCATGATGCCGGCCGAGCCGCCGGTTCCGGCCTTCGCCCTGGATCTGAGCCTCTACAAGCAGCGCGATCTGCCTGACACGCCCGAGGGCCAGCGCGTCACCTCCGGCATGCTGAGCCCGATCATGCCGCTGGAGGGCGACGCGGACCGGTACTACTCGCAGCTGGATGCGCGCACTCTCTTCCAGTGTATGTCTCGCTGGCTCCGGTCGCCTCTCCTCCATTTGCCCTTTCCTCCTTTCCACTCTTTCCCCTTTTCCCTGTCCTTTCCCCGCCTCCCCTGGGCACATTGCCCGGCCCCAAATGCGCATGCGTATTCACGGACTTGGTGCCCCCTTTCAAGACCTCACGAAGGATTTACGCCGCTCGGACCCCGAGTTGGACCCGCTGTTGCGCGCGCGCGAGCCGTGCGACTGCTTCCTCCTTTCCGGCGACCTGGTGGACCACTATGTGCGGAAGATCGCGCGCGCACGGGCCCGCACACGCGAAACCATCCTTCGGTCGCGCTTTGCCGATGACAAAATCCACCTTTCGGATGCCGAATGGGCCCAGCTGCTGGAGGCGACCGACACCCAACAGCCGATCACCCTGTGCGTACGCCTCACTCGGTCCTCTGCCCGGGGTTTCTCGGTGCCCTGTGTCCTGTTTCTGACGCATGCCCACGCACATGCGCCTCGCCGTGCACTCGTGCATATGCACGCACGCACGCACACGCACATGCACATGCACACCCTTGGACATAAGGCTTGATGTGGCGGAGACGCTGGAGCTGTATTGCCGACGCTCGGCAGCGCGGTATGTGCAGGATCCCCTGCGCCCGGAGCAGGCCACCCTCTATGATCGGAAGGCGCATGCCTCGTACGGGCGAAACATTGCCGAGGAGTTGGGTGAGGCGTTTGCCCCCCTGCTGGACCCGTCGGCCATCGGGCGCGGGGTGCACAGCGTGGCCCTGGCCCTGTGCCAGGCTCTGGCCGATGGCCGGGTTCAGCTGGCCCTGGCTACTGAGGGGCCGGATGCCCAGGCCGGGGGTCTTTTGCGTCTCTTCCCCGGGGGCGAGCCCCTTCGGTCCGCGGGACAGGCAGCCTCGGCCGGGGTCTCCGGGCTGGTGTGGTCGACAGCCGCGCAGCCGCTTGGCCCGCTGCCGCCGCAGCTCGAGCCGCTGACCGATGCGGCCCTTCCTTTGGTGGATGTGGAAGGGTCGCGACCCTTGCGCCGGGCGGCTCGCCACCGGCAGGAGCATGTCCGGTGGCTTGCGGCCACCGGAACGCGGTGCGCGGCCGTGGCCGCGGCCCTGGCCCCGGGCAGAAGCACGGCCGCCGGGCCGATGCATGCGGAGGACGCGGCCCGGCGCCTTCGCCAGGCGACCATTGCCCTGGCGCCGCACAACCCGACCCGGCGCTCGCGGCGCATGGCGGCTCTACTGGCCGAGGAGGGGGGAACGCCCGGGCCCCAGGGACCGATCGAGTCGGAGGCCCTCCGGGGGGGGACAACCACGGCGGTGGCCACCACGGGAGCCGAGCGTCTGGAGAATTCGCTCTCCGGTCGGCAGGCCGAGCACGCGGTGCATAGTTTGCTGGAGCCAGTTCGCCAGCCCACGGCGAAGGTCAACTGGTCGGAGTCCGAGACGGACTCCGAGGAAGATGCCGCCACGGATCCCGGCCGGCCGACCGAGCGGCCGGCTCCCCCGGCCGGGGCACGATACCCGCACCACCAGCGTGCCGGGGCCCTGGCCGATGCCCTGCGCGGCTTTTGGGACCAGCCGGCTCTGCTGGACGTGGAGTTCGACCAGGCGGCCCTGCGCGGGGGCCCGGGGCATCTGACCGCGGTCACCGGGCTGGCGACGGAATTGCCGGTGGCCGTGCCGTCGGCCTCGGCCTCGGCCTCGGCACCGGGGCCCGATGTGGCCAGGGACCTGGCCCTCGGCGGCTCGGTGGATCCGGCAGATGTGGACTACTCCTCGCAGGCGGGGTCCTTCCACTCGTTGGCGGCCGCGGCGGCGCGGGTGTCCGGCGCCCCGCTGGCTTCGCTGCTGTTCGGCGGGCCCGGGCCCGGGGATGATGACGGGCACGACTCGCTGGACGAGGATGACGAGAGTGACTTGGAGTATGACCGCCAGGCGTCGCAGGTGACGCACATGCCGCAGGTCCGCCTGTCTTCCCTGCCGGGGGTCGGGGCCGCTCCTGGGGCCCGGGGGTCGTCGTCCCTGGCCACGGCGGGGGGTCGCTTCTCGCTGCCGGTGCTGGGCGGCGGCGGCCACCAGGGTGGCAGTGGCCCGGGCCCGGCGTCGCAGCCCTCGCGCCTGTCGATCGGCGGCGCGGGATTCTTGCGCGGCGCGGCGTCCGGCAGCATGTCGCAGCCGGCGCTCGGCGGGGCCGGCGGTCGGCTCTCCTTCGGGGGGGGGCTCTTCTCGCAGCCGGCCCCCACCGGTGGCTTGGGAGCGTCCTCCCAACGGCCGGGCTTCCAGTCGCAGCCGTCCCTGCGGCAGTCGCTGCCGCCGCTGGCCGGGTCGATTAATCCGCTGGCGGATCCGAGTAGTCAGAATGACGGTGCGCCGGTGGCGGGCAGTGCTCCGGGCTCCTTGTCGCAGGGGGACCCGGCGCCGCCGGGCGACGCTGGGCCGCGGCGGCTGTCGGCCCTGCCGCGGCTCTCGCTCGGCGGGAGCCAGACCAAAAAGCGTTCGGGATTTTGACACACGCGCGAGCACGTGTCGCTTTACGGTATCCGGCGCCGAAAATGCACCACACAAGCACGACAACACGTCCGGCGGGCGGGCAAGGGTCTCGGCAGGGCTGGCGGCCGCGCGGGGAGGTGCCATCGCACTGCGTGGCAGGGCTCGGCCTGGCCGGGGGGGCGGGGCGCGGGACCCTGCCACTCTGCGAGTGCCGAGGGAGGCGGGACAGATCCAAAGAAGCGTGGCCCGGCAGG